TTTGTTTTTTGGGATTGTTTGAATGTTCTTGATATTTAGTCATAAGGTTCTATATGATAAAACCTGAAGTTAAGGCCTAAATTATAAAACCCTAACATTTGATATCGACTGAAAAGTATATTCCTAACACAACACAGGTACAACTTTAGATTGAAGTACCCATGCAACATAGATTATTTATGATTTACTGATGTTTTTTTCAAATTTTCACATTGTTCTAATGTTCTCTTAAACAGGGTGTTTTAGTTCGAAACGTGTTAACAAGATCTAATCCAAAGTATTTGCAAATAAATAGTTTCCAGCAGTCCAATTGCTACAGAAGATAATATCCTTCTTTCTTTATAAGCAATATTTACAGAATTAAAAAGTTAGCTATATCTAAATTCATTTTCTAATCAAACTATGTTTTTTAAACTCTAGTTTGATGGATGGTAAATTTGGTAAGTGCAACTAAACCTGAAATTTTGGCTTTCAATATAGTGTTTACTGAATCTATACATATTTCGTTCTTTTTAACACAAAAGTAGGACAAAATAGTATATAAGTGGATTTCCTATAGAAGCAAGTGGTTTCATAATAAGATTATTTGCATTGTATACCCAACATTCTAAATATCAGATTTGGTATATGTTGGATTGAAAAATTCCATATCCGATGATGGATATTGGAATACATCATGAATAGTTAATAAATAGTGGGTGACATATTGGACAATGTGTGTATTCATCTATGTTGCACAGATACGAGTGCGGACACGAACACAGATACGGAACGGATACGAAACATGATGAAATTGTAAAAGTTTGGATATGGGGACACAGCTATATATATACATATAAATAAATAATCTATCTAAGATCTATATTGTTTTTCATTCATATGTTATGTGAACTAAAATCCTTATGCCATTTTTATGTTTCTTTCATCGAGTAGATTATAAATTGAAAAACCACTTGTTTTCGAACTAAATACCCAAACGACCCTTTAAAATCATACTTATTGATAGAGTTTGTTGTAAAAAAACTCTTGTTAGCTGAAATTGTGCACAACTATATTTGGTTATGTATGGTTATATTAACAAGATTTGTTAATAATAAAGATTTGATATGTAAATCTCCTGTAACTTACTCATGTATATCTCTTGTAACATGTATCTCTATATATATGAATGCTTACCAATGTAAACATGAGTTAACGTCCTATATTGTGGTGTTAGTTCTTAATGGTATGTTATGATAAAGATTTGATATGTAAATCTCCTGTAACTTACTCATGTATATCTCTTGTAACCTGTATCTCTATATATATGAATGCTCACTAATGTCAACATGAGTTAGCCTCCTATATTGTAATGTTAGCTCTTAATGGTATCATAGCGGCCACGGTCCTCATCCTCTACCATGTCATCCTCCAGTTCAACCTCCTCTCCATCTTCCTCACCACATGATTTTTTCAACTGCGCCACCTCTTCCTAATCTCAGTAATGTCCATCACTTTCTTTCTTTGAGGCTAACTCCTACAAACTACTTATTATGGAAAACGCAGTTTCTTCCATTGTTAAGGAGTTTCGATCACCTCGGATTGGTCGAGGGCACGGATTGTTGTCCATCCCCCTCCTTTGCTACTGGGGATGCTAGTGTACCAAGCTCGTAATGGTCCCTTATTCAATGATCCATCCTTATATCGTCAAGTGGTTGGTGCTCTACATTATGTCACTCTCACTTGTCCAGAATTGTCATTTGCAATCAATAGAGTATGTCCATTTATAAGTATGGTGACCATTGATCATTGGCAAGCAGTGAAGAGCATCTTACGGTATTTAAAGCACACACTATGTCATGGTTTATTTATCTCGAAGTCCACCTCTTTTGTTCTTCACGCGTTCTCTGATGTAGACTAGGCGGGTTGCCCTATTGATCGCAAGTCCCCTGGCAGCTATGCTATTTTCTTGGAAAATAATCTTATTTCATGTTCAGCTTGTAAATAACGCACTGTTGCTCGATCCTCAATCGACTCTGAATATCGTGTGCTTGCCAATGCTACTGCAGAGCTTATTTGGCTTCAATCATTGCTTAGTGAGCTACAGACCCTTTTTCACTCTCCTCCAATCTTTTGTTGTGATAATTTGGGCATTATTTATCTTATTGCCAACCTAATATTTCATGTTCGTACCCAACATACCAAAGTAGATTCAGTTCGGGATCAAGCAGCGAAGGGCTGATTAAATGTCTGTTTTATATCTACAAAGGATCAAGTTGCGAACATCATGACAAAACCTTTAGCAACCACACGCTTTGGCACAATTTGTGACAAGCTGCGTCTTTGTTGCCGTGAACCCTCAACTAGAGAGGGTGTGATAAGAGTTTGTTGTGAACAAACTCTTGTTACCTGTAGCTGTGCATAACTATATTTGGTTATGTATGGTTATATTAACAAGATTTGTTACAACAAAGATTTGATATGTAAATCTTCTGTAACTTGCTCATGTATATCTCTTGTAACCTGTATCTCTGTAAGCAAGAGATTTCTGATCTTCAAAAGATAAACAAGATCTGATGAAGCATAACATTCCACTCATAATGACCGAAAGGGACAGTAAAAGCTGTTTTATAGCGATCCTCTTCAGCAATTTGAACTTGCCAAAATCCTGATTTCATGTCAAATTTTGAAAATAATCTTGTTCCTTGTAGTCTCTTCATTAGATCTTGTTTATTTGGTATAGGATATCGAATCCATTGTAAGACTTTGTAATTGATAACCAATCTAGGAACTCCTCTTTCAAGTTCCGTAGCATTCTCAACATAAAAAGCTGCGCAACTCCAAGGAGAAGAGCTGGGTTTGATCAAGTTTTTCTTTTGAAGATCAGAAATCTCTTGTTTATAGCTATATCTTCTTCTTCGTTCACATGTATATCAAAAATAAAAGAAGAAAATATCGTAATGAATAGTAAAAAATGAACAGTAATAGCGTGAACAGTAATGGACAGTAACTGATGAACAGTGACAGAGGCGGAAGCAAACTAGATAGTATTTACATAAGATGCTTACAAACTTGAAAGAAAATAAACTTAAACACTTACAAACCGAAAGCTTGGAGATCCGCTAGAGCTAGTAGTAGTAGAGCCCACTTATCTTACAAACACTTAAAAGAAAACTTAAAAGCAAACCTCACTCAAAGTTAAACTAAAACTGAAAACTTAAAAAAGGGAAACCGGAGGGATTTCACTAGAGTGGATAAGACTTCACTCCCCTTTTTTAAGTTTTCAGTTTTAGTTTAACTTTGAGTGAGGTTTGTTTTTAAGTTTTCTTTTGAGTGTTTGTAAGATAAGTGTGCTCTACTACTACTAGTTCTAGCGGATCTCCAAGCTTTCGGTTTGTAAGTGTTTAAGTTTATTTTCTTTCAAGTTTGTAAGCATCTTATGTAAATACTATCCAGTTTGCTTCCGTCTCTGTTACTGTTCATTAGTTACTGTTCATTACTGTTCACACTGTTACTGTTCATATTTACTATTCATTACTATACTTTCTTCTTTTATTTTTGATATACATGTGAACGAAGAAGAAGATATAGCTATAAACAATAGATATATCCTCTCCTCCGTCTACACAGCATTCCCCACGAGCTAGCTCTATCGTATCAAGGCTAAACAAGTCCTGTTTACGGTTGGTATCAGAGCACTTTCTTTTTTGTTCAGAAAAAAACATGTTGTCAACCTCCCATATGAAAAAGATTTTTCTAAAAATAAAATCTCTACCAAAGCTCGCCCAATACAAATGAGTCAGAGACTTTTAGAAATATGTAAGCAAGAGATTTCTGATCTTGTCAATGTGAGTTAGCCTCCTCTACGATCATGTTAGCTCTTCACTTATGAACTAGGTATGTGCTAAAAAGAAGTTGTCTCAAGTTCAATAAGTTGGCATAAATTTGAGGTTAAGTGTATGATATAGGTTCAATAAGTGTATCACGAGATTTTCGAACTAAAACGTGTGTTATATAATTGAGTTCACATCTTCCATAAAAATATAATTGAGTACACGTCTGAATAAATATATGTATATATATTCAAAAAAATGTCCAAGAAGTATTGAACACAGCCACGGGAAGTGTAGACACAGGAGTCTAGATGAAGAGTTTGGATAACATAAGTATCCATACTTGATGCACCAAATAATGGAGCTTTTGAGAAAGATTGTATCTTTTTTGAAACTTTTGTGAAAAACTCCAACCTCAAGTGAACCCGAATTCTTCCTTTCAGTTAATTGCATGTGGATGTGTTTGAGGTCTAAGCCTATGCTGATATTTGTTTGAGCTTAGATCTCAACTGAACCATAAATCTAAATCAATCTTTAAAAAAATCCATATTGCAATATTTTGGCTGATCTCTTAATGCTAAAATGTTACAAATATATTACAAAAATAGTATTGACCAAAAATTGTTAAAAGCGGTAAAGGATACCGAAGTCATATTGTCTCATGGCAAGCTTTATAAAAGGCTATATCGGCCAATATCTTGGCTATGTCGGGGGTATTTCACCCAAATATTGCCAAAAATGGTGAGGGATATTGAGATCATATCGTTTTGTGCAAGCCTTACGAAAAGGATATATTAGCCATATTGAGGATAATTAAAAGATGGTAACTTTGTTCAAGAATATCAACATAGAAATTGTATGAGAAACAAAATTTCTCACCAAATTTAAGTTTTTGGAGTTACTGGGGCAAGTGAGGGACAAAGTTAGGGCTTTGGTGTCAATTTAAACACTTAAGGGTATCAAATTGTCAAAATAGAACTTCTAGGAATCAAAGTTAAAAAAGGGTGAAACCTTGGAATATTAAAGTGCACAAAAACATTTAAATTTATTTCGACAGACTGCAGAGTTGAGTCAGCCAGTGAGTATGTTTTCTAGAACTTTAAACCATATGTTCTCATGTCTCTTTGGAGACAACCGCGAGCAAAATAAAGTAAAATGAAATAAAAGAAAAGAGCAATTGCATCGCAAACATAATCCAAGTATCTACCTGTTCTTAAGCCGTGAGAACAAGTGATCAGCATGCAAAAGGTCAAAGGTTCGTGGGTAAGTGCTGAATGGTTCACACCAGTCATGGTATATGCCAAGAAGTCCACGCTCATAAATAATAGGAAGAGTATTTGGAGCATGCACAGGAACTACATTCATAACCCACACCTTTTGTGAAGTTAAAGCTGCTGCAAACCTGTATAATCACATTTACAAGAAGTTCAACTTTTTTACTTCATATCCAAACCGGTCAATGTTTGTATGGTTAAAACAGCTAACTGGAAAATCTAATAACAGATTTTGGGATTCTGGACATGAAAATCACTATAACTTTAGAAATATAATGTAACTGTAAAAATAAACTACTGCTGCTTACCCTCCATAAATTGCTTTCATATCCATAACATTCCGAATATTCAACCAATCAATTCCCAACCCACCAAAATATGATCTGTTGAAGATGGCCTTCCAGTGTTGGTCATCTGCATGCAATTTGTCCTGGGAATCACCAAGCCATTCAGGAAAAGTTTCAAGCCTTTTTGGCCATTCCTCAGGCCAATCAGTGCCACGTTGTTCAATAGCAGATGGAACTTTATGGAGACATGTTTTTATTGGTGTGTACCTAGAAACGAAGAAAAACTTGCTCCGAGTTAATTTACTGAAACTTGGCCTGATACATGAGCTCCACTACCCAAAGGCAAAGAAAGGCTCAACAGTCAAATTAAATGCATTTCTTTGGAAGAGGTTATTCAACATGAATGAATGTAAGTCCCAACTCACCAAGCAGCATCCTGGTTTTCATTTTCCTTGCACAAGGGAGGTTGATTTCTCCTTCTTAGCTCATAAATATCATTTGATGTTGGTTTCTGATAAATCTTAGCACTCATTTCACTGACATCATCAGTTTTATGTGCCAGAATATTCCAACAGATTGAAGCTGTCAATTCTGACATGCCTGGAAGAATTATAATATAGCAAGAAATGAGGGAAAATCCAATATATATAATTTAAAATAGCTTGACACAAATGAACTCATAATACATTGATAATATTCCACAGCTGGTTGGGAGTTTAGATATTCATATGAAAAAAAAAAATCGCTCTTAGAGGCCTGCAAAAAAATATGATAAACTATTTTTATTGGAGAAAAAACAAAACAAACTTTCAGATATAAAGGAAATATCACATTCTATCAATAAGTTGTCCTCACGCCATCAATGGTGTAAGTATAAACTCTAAAATAACCTTAATAGCAAAGAAGTGGAAGAGGGTGGGAAAGTAGTTATATAAAATAGCTAAGAAAATATCCAAGTTATGTCATGAGCATATCACATGCCAAATTATATAAACTTCTGCCGGTCATGGTAATTTAATGAAAAAAATAGTGGCTATTTTCCTCTACAAACAATATTTGTGCTATTTTGATGCAAAACCCTACTAGTTCATTGTTCTTTGTGAAATTTACCCAAGTTTGTTTTGTCTTTGGAGAATATAGAAAGCTGACTGTCAGTAAATGCTCTTTTCGTGATCAGACTAATGTTAATAAACAAAGGTGCAGTTAGCATTCATTGGCAAAACCACCAGTAATTAACTAGTAGGTTAAATTAAACTTAACTACCCAGTACTTTAAATATTGCTCATAATTTGGTTCCTAATGCATTTTGCAGGAATATGCATGATCACAATTATGACTAAAACAATCGATTTATCTAGTCAATTTTCTGACTAATGGATAGCTAGGACAGGAACATAATCAGTTGATTCTGACATATTAGTCAGTAGTTTTTCCTCAAAAAGAAAAATATAGTAACTGTGTCAATATTCTACAAGCTCCATGCTGATCTGTAAGTGTTAAAAGTAGAAAATTCTATTGGAGCTTACTAGTTATTACCTCTGCATCATTTAAGTTTACATGTATACGTTATTCAGGGTTTATGCAATAACTCATCATGGTAAGTAAGTCATTTGGAAGGAACAATTAGAGGATCATCACATGCTTTACAGAAATTTGGCCTCTGCAATGCAGTTATCAGAACAAGGAAGTCTCCAAATTGACATGAAGTAACTCATATAAATAGTAATATTTTCAACATTTTGACAGGGTGAGGAAGAAAATGGAATGCAAAATTAAGGTTAAATCTAGAAAATTCAGGGTTACAATATGCACGAGACCTAGAGCTCAGTAAAGGAATGTTGGCTAGGGAAGGATTTATATCCTACAGAAAGTATTTTAAAGTATGGTACTTCTTAAGCATCACTTTCGGTCTGACGTTTCACTCCTCCCTCATTTATCTTTTTTCATCTCAACTTTCTGCAATATGGCATCATTTAGGAAGATTAGATTGCTGGAATAAATACCTTCTTCTCTATCAACATCACCATGGGAAGTTGACATAATAAAGTATCCGCCAGGGCGTAGTATTCGATTCATCTCCAGGAGGAGCTTCCCACCTAAGAGAGACAATGTAATGTTCAGATGAACAACCTCAACAAGATTAGTTACCATGAGAAAAAATGACACAGGTGCACACCAGTAGAATGCCATGCTGTATTGCAGTCACTGCAGTGAATAGCATCAAAAACACTACTAGGAAAAGGAAGCCTTTTGGTTTCCAAACTGCCCAAGACTGCAGGGATCCCACGCTCAAGAGCAACTTGGGCCAAGTCAGTCCTGTCATGTATTAGCCCTAATGACAAAGTTATAACATCCTTTTCAAGAAGAGCAGCAGCAAAGTTAGCATCTGCGCATCCAATGTCCAAAACTACTCGGATATTCTTCCCCCATTCAATATCAGGCACCATCTATTATCAAGTCAAAGTAATTAAAAGAAGGCAAACACCTACACACAACAGATTCCACGAACAAGAAACATAACAATCTCCAAAAAATAAAGATGAACTTCAAAAAAACAAATTGATCAAGCACATTCTAGAACTCCAACTTTCTAAACTATTGTCATTTAACGCATTTGGTTAACTCGTCAAAGTCATAAATTCGGGAGTCAAGTAGTCCACTTAGCATAAAGCAAGAACAACAGCATAAGCATACTTCGCAACATATTGCAAAACAGTCAATGTGATATGAATATATCCCAGTTAAAAGCTTAAATAACAACATCATTTCATTCTAAACTCATCAAAAAGAATATGATAAAAAGTGCTCACCTCTTCAATGGAACCGAGGTAGTGATGAACCCCACCCTTGAACTCCGACTCATCCTGAGGAAACATCAAATACTCTCCAGTCACATTCACCCACCTCCGAGTCTTAACATACGCAGACAGCTTCGGATGAGCTACATTCCTATAAAATATCTGCAGCATCAAATTAAACCCTAAAAATCACCAATTCCACACCCAAAAAAAGAAAACCAACTCGAACAACTTAACAAAGCATCGACCTTGAACTGACTCTCGGGCCACGGGACCACCGGAGTCCGATACTCCCTGCGGCAGCGGCACCCAACAGGTCGCGGACTGACGAGGGCAGCTATCGCTCATGATGCCGGCGGGCCCCGCCGCCCTCCATGTCAATGCAAGGCACGAAATTTTGCTTGTTACTTCCGGCACACAGTTTCCAGTCGTACACAGCGCTCGGATCGAACAGCGGCCCCAAAATTTTCCCTTTCTTCTTCTTTTTTCTCCTCCTCTTTTGCTCTTCGCCATCTTCATCCTCCGCATTCACCTCTGGATTCACCTCGACGCCGTCTTCGATGTCAGGATCATTATCTCCCTCCTCCGATTCAACCACTTCCTCTTCCCTCTCCTCCTCTTTCTTCACTAAAGCTTCGGTCTTGTTCTTGCTTCTGTTACTATCTTCAACCGAAGGCGGAGGACTTTGATTCGTTCATTCTAAACTCATCAAAAAAAATATGATAAAAAGTGCTCAACTCTTCAATGGAACCGAGGTAGTGACGAACCCCACCCTTGAACTCCGACTCATCCTGAGGAAACATCAAATACTCTCCAGTCACATTCACTAACCTCCGAGTCTTAACATATGCAGACAGCTTCGGTGAGCTACATTCCTATAAAATATCTGCAACATCAAATTAAACCCTAAAAATCACCAATTCCACACCTCAAAAACATCAAATATTCTCCAGTCACATTCACCGACCTCCGTGGCGCTGGCGGTTCTAAAGGGAGTGGGGTCGGATTCGATGTTGTCGAAGTTGTCTCATCTCGAGGAGACGGCGGAGGACCCCGGCGACGTGAGGACGGACCAGACGACGACGAAGGAGAGGCCGAGGACGACGGCGATGGATGTCTTGACGACGAAGCTGAAGGGGCCGCGCCTGCGGGGGAGTTTGACTCCTTGGAATTTGAGCGCCATGGATCTCGAGCTCGATCGAGGGAAGGAAGGAGGGGAGAAGGTGAGGAAGTTGGGATCGATCGGTGTAATTTGACGGGGGACTTTAATTATTAATGTAGGTGCCATTAGGATAAAGTGAAGCAAGGATTAGGGTTTTTATTTATTTATTTATATTTATTTTCTTGCTTCCGGTAATAAAGTGGAGATTAATTGTGAGGAGTGAGAGAGAGCGGGTGAAGTGCGGACGAAGATTGAGGCGTACGTTAGAAGCGAGTTCAATGGCTGATTTTTGGCGTTCTTGTCTTGCGATTGTGGAGGCTGGCATTTTACCCTCTATTAACCGTTTACAAATAACTACTGTGCACCGTGTGCAAAGCACCGTCCCTTTTTTTTATTTTCGCTATGGTAATTTTTTTTTTATGTTTTTTCCTGAATGTTACAGTAATTTTTTAAAATGCTACAATATTTTGTTTTTGCTACAGAGATGTTGCTACAGTAATAATATTTCGGTAATAAATTTTTTAGAAGTTGTTAATAATGATGTTTGGTGATTTTTTTTACCGCAAGCTTATTGAATTTGTTACTATTTTTAAATGTGCTTTTAGAAGCAATCTCAGGATGCTTCCAAATGCAGTTTCTAACTTTTATTAGTTTATATATCACATTTATGGTCTTTATTTTTTGATAATTATCTTTAAGCATTGTTTTGCCAAACATCTTAACTGTTTTTGGAAGCAACTTTTGATATATGATTACAAATGACTATTTTTAGCGTTTTTGTAAGCTACTTATATAAACAACTTATTATAAGCTCCAGTAATATTAGTCTAGCTCTTAGTCCTTCAATTCTCTCATTCTAACATCTTGCTGGCGCTCTAAATTGAAGGGAATTAATTTAAAATAATTGATAAGATTCAGAGACCTAATATCATTTTAGTGATTTGTGATACTAATCTCAAAGTTTTCTAGACTTGAAGGACTGATATAAAAAAAATAACTCTTCCAAAAATGATAAAATAATACTTCTGGATTGAAAACGATTAAATATGATTAATGTATATAAGGGGATAATTATTGGCATGTCTGAACATAAATAATAGGATTCATATAGCTAATCTCAAAACTTTAAAATAAAGGGTTGTTTGTTTTGTTGATGTTAACAAAAGTTAAGTTATTTTCATTTATTAACGTATCAAAAAAAAAAAAAAACGTGTGTGATAATCTTAAAAGCAAGGGCATATCCCTCCATTTTAACTCTAAAATTTCCTTGATAATCATGGACAGGGTGAAAAATGAACCCACGATGTACAGCAAATTCTTTAAGAACAAGTGTCATATTAAGTTCAGTCAACCTAGGGTAAAAAATTAAACTCAAATATTTTAAATGCGTTAACTGAAATAAAAGTGTAATTCTTCACGAGAATGTTAAATTCTACAATCGCAAATCAACAGAAATGTCACTTTTACATTTCAAACACATTGTGTAGTTTTCAGTTTATGTGGTCTCAATTAGATTATCTTTTATTACCATCTTCATGAATTGCATTTCTTCGATCTAGTTTTCCACTTACTTTAGTTACCTATCTAACCATATTGAAGAGAAACTGAGCCCCATTTTAAAGCAGAAACCATAGTCCTACAAGTGTGCTTGGCAAACTAATAAAACTGGACTAGAAATGAACCTGACCCACTCTTAGGCTTACTTTTGATTGGTAAAAACTGAGCTAGTTCTGACCTAGTTTTTCTTAGACCAAAAAGAGGCCATAAAACCAGTTTAGCGTTGGACCACGAGAGTGGTAGTCCAACACTAAACTACTTTCCAGGATTAAACCTGGACCACTTTTTGAGTGATTGCCAAAACACAACCCTCATAATTAATGTCACCTCTCTACCATTAACACATGTTTCAAAGTTATTTTATATGGTATTTTCCACAAAAATTTGACTCAGATTGAAGATACGAATGAATAGGAGGAGCAACCCAATAAAATATCTCAGAGGTGAAGAACACCGAACCACGACAAAGCACCAACGCATTGATGCACTCATTGTAAAAGTCACTGCCTACTAGCAGTTATCATTCACCCAACCCTGAAACGATAATCGAAGGGACCAATACATCAAAAACTTATGCAACAAGGAAATAGCCTGTATATTAATTCAATATACAGTATAAACTCAACAAATTCAGATACTTTGCAGGCAAACGAACAATAAAAGACATGAAAGGCCCCAGCAAAAGGGACCATTTTGTCTACAGCCTCACGTCTCAACTCCACAAAAGCTCTTGAAAGAAAGTTGCGTTCAATGCCATCTCAATGTTTGAAAGGCTATGGACAAAAGTACCAGAACTGATTCCCCTTCAGATATCTCTCCAGCAAAGAAAATCAAATACCAGTAGTTGTACTTCTTCCACTCGGAAAATATCTCAGACACACATTTTATCATCGTGGGTCATTTCTTTACCTTCCAAAAAAATGGGTAGTGTGCAAGTTTCTTGTGTTTGTGACTTTGTGTGGTTCTCTTTTCTTATCTCCTCCAACCCCCTCTCCTCTTAACAAAACGGTCCCATTTGATATTAAAAACCTCAAAATATGCATTCTCCCTCTCTTCTCCAAAACTCTCAGCTTCTCCTCAACACAAAAAACATGGAGAGAACAAGCAACTTAGCTTGGCTGGCTGAGCTGAAACTGCCAGAGATGCTCGACTCAGAAACAGTGAAATCATTGCATGCTATTATTGATAACAAATGGGGACCTGTTCATCGAAGTGCATGCCAAACTGCTGCAGGCCGAGCCCTGTGGAATCATGTGATTCATGACCCACTGGCTGGAGCTTTGGCCGGTGAGAGTTATCTTAAAAGTCTTTATGAGAAGATGAGGAAAGATTGGCTTCATAATTCCAGGGAAGTGTCTGGGGTGATTTTAGCTATTCGTACCTTGTGGTTTGATGCTAAGCTTGAAGCGGCAATTAATTCGTTTGATTCTATCGACGATGGAGGAGCTCAGGTTGTTCTCCTTGGTGCAGGTCCGTGATCTGTAGTTTTTCGTGACATTAGAATCTCTTGATGTTTAACGCATATATAATAAAAAAAATGCAGATTTCCTCTGTTCTATTTCAGCAAAAGCAATATCAAGAGCATAAAAAAAGGCTTATTCTCACTTTGGTAACCTAAAGTTTACCAATTGTTCCACTTTGATACCCCCTTTGATACCCCAAATTTTCAATGCCATTTCACTTAGATACCCCCGTCTAGACTCAGTTAGACTTTCTATTAAATTTGTATCACGTGCTTAGCATGTGACAACCCATCCACTACTACAGGGATGTTCAAGCAACTGTGTAAAATGGACCTTAATGTAATACAAATTTAACAGAAAATCAAACAAAATCTGGACGGGGGTATCAAAGTGAAATGGGATTGAAACTTTGGGTGCATCAAAATATTAAAAAATATTTTGGGCTGCCAAAGTGGAAAATGGGTAAATTTTGGTGTACCAGATTGAAAATAAGCCAAAAAAGGTTCACAGAGTAGGTTGTGAAAGATTAAGAATACTGAAGTGATACCAGTGAAATTTTGAATAACTTGTGATGAATCTAAATACAACTATCTTACAGGTATGGATGCAAGAGCCTACCGTCTTTCTTGCCTGAAAGAATGTGCAGTATTCGAAGTCGATTTTAAAGATTTACTGGAAGTGAAAGCCTCTCTTATACAGGAAGCAATGGGATCCTCAGAGCACCAGCAGAAATCAATGACTGCCAAGTCTTTGATTAGGGTCGCAGCTGACATTAGAGACAATGATTGGATCGAAAAACTCAGAAGATCAGGCTTTGTTCCTGACAAAAAAACAGTGTGGATGCTTGAAGGTATCATTTATTACCTTCCTCACTCTGAAGCCATGAATGTGCTTCAATCTATAGGTGCTCAGTGTGCCATGACTCAAACTGTTCTCATCTCTGACTTCATGAACAAGCCCTCAGTGTCTCTATCCCCTTCAATGTTTCATTTTTATAGTGATTGGCCAGACCAATTGTTGCCAACTCTTGGATTTTCTCATGTTAAGCTTTCACAAATAGGGGATCCTGATGCCAATTTTGGATTGCTGCATGATCCGCAAAATTTGTTTACCAAGCTTAGGAACTTGCCAAGGTCAATACAGACTCATCCAGAGGATGGAGCTCCTTGTCGGCGGTTATATCTTGTCGAGGCCTCAGGTTCTCCAGAGCGAGCAACCTAAAGAGATATCAAACAGCCATGATTCATCACTTCAGTTTATTATATGCTACATATACCTTCCACATTTTGGATTAGATATAAGGGAATCGGAATCTTTCAGTTTCCCGTAATATTGCCAATGCTTATAAATGATATTTCTCAAATTTCAGTAATCGAAGCATGGCTTGATGACAACTCTATTCTAACTACTCCGTCTTGAGTTTGGAGTACCACTCTAATTTTGTGGGTATATTTTTTATGACTATGTTCATTTGTTTCAGTGAACGTGAATTGTATGGATGTACTACTTTCAGTAATTTGAGCACAACTGCATGAATAATCATCTTAGGTTGCTCGCTGGGGAGAAAACTTTTGCCTCGTTTCTATTCCAAGTGAACATTAGAGTATCCAAACAACACATTAGACTACTATTAAATAATAACTAGTATTATTAGCACTATCAGCAGTTGTGAAGAATTATATGCCTCAATTTCTGACTGTCTAAAGAACTCACTCACTACTAGTTTAACTATAGACCCACATAAAGTTGCATCTGGAACAATGGCTGAAAAAGATGATCTAATAGAATTCTCACAAATAGAAAGAGAAACGAAAAGGAAAGGGATCTATGGCACATATTATGCCAATTTTCTAGGCATTTGTGACATGAGAATTAGCATGTAGTTATAGTTAACTCACCACAAAAATTGATGGTGATGATGATGGTAGCTCTAACCTTGACATTGTCAATTCTAGGCAACTTTGATGAAGGACATTTTTTCTGGAAGACCAATCATCATTGTATAACTCACACCCTCTGAAAGCTTCACAATATCTTTCCTGTGAAACTAAAACCAGCCAAGGCAGAAATATGACGGAGACTGTAACCCTTTGACAAGTATGAGGATATTATTTGACATACACACACAAACAATAACTGATGACATGGCATGCCATATGACACATTTTCTAGTGAAGAGTTCTCAACCATTTCTTGACTACTGATTGCATTGTGGACACCATCTTCTATTGACATCTGAAATAAAGCCATTAAAGCAACGACTGAGGTTGAATATTGCTTTTTACAGCTTTCCCCAAACCCATTTATGTAATGATCACATAAATAGGAGTCCAGTATTGACAGAAAGATATATGCAGTCGCGTCAAAGGGAATAACATTATGCATGAGTGGTACAGGATTACAAAAGTCAAGATCTAAAAGGATAATAAGTTTTCAGTGCAGTAATAAGGTGGAATATTGTCTAAATCATACTCTTAAGAGATGGAGGCTACTGCTATGCCAGGTGACACAATCCCTTGTCTAATTAGTTTGCGTGCTTAACCAAAGTCTATTCAAACTCAACATTTTGCACATGTGGCATGGCTGCAGCCTGAATCCATTGATACCATTCGAAAATGTTGGAATCGGGTGTGAAGACCAAACCTTGATTCAGACGAGGACGAGCTCTAGTCGGCGAGGTCGACAGCGAGCTCGAAGCGACCCCCTTGCAGGCGAGCTCGATGATGAGGCGACGCAGCTCAGAAGGCGAGCTCGAGCGAGATGCAGGCGAGGCGACCTCGAGATCAGGCGAGGTCATCGTCGAGTTGCAGGCGAGATCGAGGAAATCCGCGGGCGAGGCGGCTCCGCGCAGGTGAGCTCCTCACAGGCTGTCGACAGCTTGTCGACAACTCAACTAAGGTTTCCCTATAAAAGGGAAACCCTCCGCTTCTTCTCGTGATTTTGGCGGTGACGATTTCTCTCTTCTCAGCGGTGTTTGCTTCTGCTTCTTTTTCCAGTGCTCAAATATTTGAGTGAAAATGGGAGATTTTGAGGGGAGAATTTAAAGGAGGAGGAATTTATTGAAAGGAGATTTAAAGAGAGGAGCTATTAATGTAGCTACAGTAATAAACTTGAATTTTGAGGAATCTCAAGCTTGAGATCTGCTCTTGTATTGTAATTTCTTGTTGATTAATAAGAAATTAATTGTGTGGCTCCCGAGGACGTAGGCATGTTTGTCGAACCTCGTAAATCTTAGTGTATTTTTCTCTATATTACGTTTCTCGCTGTTTTAGGGGTTATAGCGTAGTCTCGGGTATTCCCCAACAACTGGTATCAGAGCCTGAAACGATTTGGAGGAAGTCAGATTCAAGTGGGAGGGATGGCCGCAGATGAAGAAAAAGTGAGATTAGAGAAGTTTGATGGAACGGATTTCGGATTCTGAAAAATACAGATAGAAGATTATTAGTATCAGAAAAATATATATCAACCCCTCTCGGGGAAGAAGTCGGATTCTATGAAGGAATATGAGTGGAACCTTCTAGACAGACAAGCCTTCGGAGTTATCAGATTGACGTTAAGTCGTAATGTTACGTTCAATATTACAAAGGAGAAGACCACAACGGGTCTTATGACAGCACTCTTAAATATGTATGAGAAGCCATCAGCTGCAAATAAAGTTTTATTTGATGAGGCAGTTATTCAATCTGAGAATGACGGAAGGCGCGTCAGTAGCACAACACCTCAATGAACTCAACACGGTCACAACCCAATTGAGTTCAGTTGAAATTAAGTTTGATGAGGAAGTTCGAACGTTGATCATTTTATCTTTCCTACTAGAAAGCTAGAACGCTACAGTCACGGTTATGAGTAGCTCGTCGGGAAGCAACAAGTTAAAGTTCGATGACGTTCGTAATCTGGTTCTCAGTGAGGAGATCCGACGAAGAGAGTCGGGTGAAGCTACAACCTCTTTAATATTACATACAGAGTCAAGAGGTAGAAATTCAACCAAAGGAAACGGATGAGGCAAATCAAACTTCAGAGGTAGATCAAAGGACAGGAGGTCCAAATCCAGGAATCCAAGCAATAGCTCGAAGGCTATCGAGTGTTGGAATTGTGGGAAAACCGGGCATTACAAGAATCAGTGCAAGAGTGCACAGAAGGAGAAGGCGGCGAAGGCAGAGGTGAATGTTACTTCCACCTCAGGAGGAGACGACGCATTGATATGCTCTTTAGATAGCAAGGAGGAATCTTGGGTGTTAGATTTAGGAGCGTCGTTCTAGGCTACTTCTCAGAAAGAATTCTTCGAGAAGTATGTTACCGAAAATCTTGGATATGTATACCTTTGTGATGATCAACTATGTGCTATTGTAGGCAAATGTGCAGTGAAAATTAAGTTGAACGGGTCAGTATAGGAGCTGAAGGATGTCAGACATATTCCCGACCTGAGAAAGAACTTAATATTCGTAGGCCAGTTGGCTGGCGAAGGATACACTACGATCTTCCATGGAGATGATTGGAAGATCTCAAAGGGCACAATGACGATTGCGTGAGACAAGAAGATTGGTACCATGTATATGACAATAGGTGCACGTTGTTTGATCTCAGTTGTAGCAGGCAATGGGACTTCAAAGCTGTGGCACCAGAGAAGTCACATGAGTGAGAAGGGAATGAAGATCATGCACACAAAGGAAAAACTCCCAGGACTGCACTCAGTGGAGATGGACTTTCAGACAAGTGGCAGAACCCCCAAGAAAGAGAAGCTAGAGCTCGTTCACTCAGATGTTTAAAGACCAACCACCATCACGTCCATTGGTGGAAAACACTACTTCGTGACTTTTATCGATGATCACTCTCGGAAAGTGTGGGTTTATTTTTTAAAGAACAATTTTTCAAAACGGACTGATTTTTTTTTTTTTTTCAAAACCGACTGTTTTTTTTTTATTTATCAAAATCGACCCGGTTTTGTGATTAGGCTGCTAATCACTATCCTAAATAGTCGGGGTTGGCAACCCCGACTATTTAGGAGGGTGTTAAACCCTAATTAAAGGGTGATTAGCAGGTTAATCACTATCCTAAATAGTCGGGGTTGCCAACCCTGACTATTTAGGATAGTGATTAGCCTGCTAATCACAAAACCGGGTCGATTTTGATAAATAAAAAAAAAACAGTCGGTTTTGAAAAAAAAAAAAAATTTCAGTCGGTTTTGAAAAATTGTTCTTTTTTAAAACATAAGTCAGAAGTATTTGAAGCTTTCAGAAGATGAAAAGCTATGGTCGAGAATAAGACCGGTCTGAGAATAAAGAAGCTCAGGACCGAAATAACGGTGAGTATGAAGACACCGGATTTAAAAAGTTCTGCTATGAACACGGGATCAGAATGGAGAGAATCGTGTCCAGCACGCCTCAAAAAAATGATGTAGCTAAACGGATGAACTGAACGTTAACAGAGAGTCAGAAGCATTCGGATACAGTCATGCCTACCGAAGCAGTTCTTGACAGAAACAGTCAACACAGCAGCTTACTTGATCAATCAAGGTCCATCGATTTCATTGGAGCACAAAATATCAGAGGAGGTATGGTGTGGAAAGAAGGTAAAACTCTCACATCTCAAGGTTTTCGGTTGTGTAGCTTATATGCATATTAGTGATCAAGACAGGAATAAGCTTGATCCCAAGTCAAAGAAATGCACTTTCATCGGCTATGGTGAAGATGAGTTCGGTTACCGTATTTGGGACAACGAAAATAAGAAGGTGATCAGGAGCAGAGATGTGATATTCAACAAGAAGGTGATGTATAAGGACATGCACAAGACAGATGACTCAGAGAGCGAGTCAACATTCGTAAAAGCAGAAGATATCCTGAGTAACCTCTCGGAAGAACCCAATGCAGAAGGTCCTCGGCCAGAAGAGTTTGTTGGACAGAACGGTGCGCAGGAGCCCGACGCACCAGCTCCGATATTGAGAAGATCTTCTCGGCCTCCTATTCCCAATAAAAGATATATAAACTATCTGTTACTGACAGATGGAGGGAAGCCTGAAAGATACGATGAAGCTTGTAAAAGTGGAGATGCGAGCAAGTGGAAGCTTGCCATGAAAGATGAGATAAAGTCTCTCATCTCAAACCAGACGTGAGAACTAGCTAAGTTGCCCACGGGTAAGAAGACACTCCATAACAAATAGGTGTATCAGGTAAAAGAGGAGCAGGATGGTTCCAGAAGATATAAAGCCCGACTAGTTGTCAAAGGATTCCAGCAGAAAGAATGAATTGACTACACCGATATTTTTACTCCCGTAGTGAAACTCAATACTATCAGGACAGTGATGAGTATTGTAGCTATTGAAAATCTTCATCTCAAGCAGTTGAACGTGAAGACAACGTTTCTTCATGGAGATCTAGAAGAGATATACATGCACCAGCCAAAAGGTTTCTCAGAAGAAAAGAAGAAGAACCTGATGTGCAGACTCAAGAAGAACTTGTATGGCCTGAAACAAGCCTCAAGACAGTGGTACAGAAAGTTTGATGGCTTCATGCACAAGGAAGGTTTCCAGAAGTGCAACGTCGACCACTGTTGCTACTTCCAGTGTTTTCAAAGGTGTGCCCCTCACTGTGCCTCATGCGCCTTGTAATTCGGGGCGATGATGAAGCGCCCCACATCTGATGCAGCGACGCCTTTTGCGCTTCGCGTACATTCTTACTTTGTACGTTGTGCATGTCCTTATATAATTTTGTTTGTATACATTTCAATCGAGTCTTTATACTTGATAATTCATATTCTAAAAAGTAAAATAAATCCATTAGGCCTTTTTAGTAGCCTTCAATTGAGAACCATTATTAATCATTTGCTTGGATATTAGTCTTGATTTAACATTTGATTTGAAAATTTATTCATTTTGCTATTATGTTGGGTGTTAGCATTAGAAATTAAGGTATTATATTATGACTTTGTAGTAATATGTTATTTATCCAGATATATTTTTCATGTAAATTCTAAAAACATGTTCTTTCATGCTTGATTATATATATTGAGAATTTATGTGTGGTGTGGGCGCCTCGCATCACCCGGGCGCGCGCATCGCGTTGCGCCTTGCGCATGTGCGCGTAAAAATGCTTTGCGCTCCGCATTGCGCCTCGCACATTGACAACACTGGCTACTTCAAAAGATATCGGTCTAGTTATATCATCTTACTGTTGTATGTTGATGATATGTTAGTTACAGGTGCAGATATGGAGGATAATGGGAGTTTGAAGCAGCAGCTGTCAAAAGAGTTCGACATGAAGGACTTGGGTCCAACAAAAAAGATCCTTGGAATGCAAATCACGAGAGATAAGAAGATAGATCTTTTGAAGTTATCGCAGACGGAGTACATCAACCGTGTTTTAAAGAGATTCAATATGGGCGACGTCAAGCCAGTGAGCACACCCGGCCAACCATTTCCGCCTATCAAAGGATCAGTCTCCTCAGTCAGATGAAGAGAAAGAGGGTATGGCTAAGGTTTCTTACGCCTCAGCCATTAGAAGCTTGATGTACGCAATGGTCTGTGCGAGACCAGACATTGATCATGCAGTGGGAGTGGTCAGTCGGTTTATGTCGAATTCAGGAAAAGCACATTGGTAAACGGTCAAGTGGATTCTGAGATATCTACGAGACACCACACAGAAGTGTTTGCACTTTGGTAAGGGAGAGGTGAAAGTGTAAGGGTACGTAGATGCAGACTTTGGAGGTGAAGTCGATCACCGAAGAAGCACCACCGGCTATGTATTCACTGTCGGAATTACATTTGTTAGTTGGATGTCACAGATACAGAAGATTATCACTCTATCCACTACAAAAGCTGAGTATATAATAGTGACTAAAGCCAGTAAAAAGATGATGACTTCAGGGTTTGTTAACAGAGCTGGGATTCAAATAGGAGAAAAATATTTTGCACAATGATAGTCAGAGTGCGATTCACTTGGCTAAGAATTCTGTATTTCATTCTAGAACGAAGCACATTGGGCTTCGATAACACTTCATCAGATCCCTGTTGAAAGATGATGTGTTAAAACTAGAGAAGATTCTAGGAAGCAAGAATTCAGCAGATATGTTAACAAAGGCGGTGACCATTTAAAAACTGGAGTTGTGCGTAACTTCAGTTGGCCTTCATGCATAAGGTGATGAGGGCGGAGCCACACAGGAGAATGTGCTTGTTGAGATAACCTGCTTACGACGATTTGATCTTCAAGTGAGAGATTGTTGGAATCGGGTGTGAAGACCAAACCTTGATTCAGGTGAGGGCAAGCTCCAGTCGGCGAGGTCGACGGCGAGCTCGATGCGAGCTTCAGGCGAGGTCGACAGCGAGCTCGAAGCGACCCCCTTGCAGGCGAGCTTGATGATGAGGCGACGCATCTTCGAAGGCGAGCTCGAGCGAGATGCAGACGAGGAGACCTCGAGATCAGGCGAGGTCATCGTCGAGTTGCAGGCGAGCTCGAGGAAATCCGCGGGCGAGGCGGCTCCGCGCAGGCGAGCTCCTTACAGGCTGTCGACAGTCTGTCGATAACTCAGCTAGGGTTTCCCTATAAAAGGGAAACCCTGTGCCCTAGCCCCCTCTACTTCTTCTCGTGATTTTGGCGGCGGCGATTTCTCTCTTCTTAGCGGCGTTTTCTTCTGCTTCCTTTTCAAGCCTCAAAGATTTGAGTGAAAAGGGGAGATTTTGAGGGGAGAATTTATAGAAGAGGGAATTTATTGAAAGGGGATTTAAAGAGAGGAGTTATTGCTATAGCTACAGTAATAAACTTGTATTTTGAGAGATCTCAAGTTTGAGATCTGCTCTTGTATTGTAATTTCTTGTTGATTAATAAGAAATTAATTGTGTGGCTCCCGAGGACGTATGCAAGTTTGCCAAACCTCGTAAATCTTGGTGTACGTTTCTCTATACTACGTTGCTCGCTGTTTTAGGGGTTTAGTATAGCCCCGGGTATTTCCAATAGAAAAGACTAGCAAGAAGATAATAGGTTCTCCAACTTCAGAACTATATATCATTCAACAGGCTACGACAAAAAGAAACCCAGGCGATGATTAGGCTGTACAAGCAACAAAAGGATGATAAATCAAATAAATTCATGAAATAAAATAATTGTCAATACCAATGTAAACCATCATGTGTGACAGAGAAACCCAGGTGATGATTAGGCTGTACAAGCAACAAATAGGATGACATTACTTTCGAACAATGAAGCTCTCATAATGGTACTCGAAAATGGTCTATGATTGTCAGGAGAATCAAACACCTAAGCAGTCCTTAATTGCCTGCCCAAATTTGCCCAGGGCATATATTGAATCCGTTAGCCCTTCTTTAACCTTTTCTCTGCAAAATGGAGAAAATAATAATAAACAGCATCTTCATGCTTGCGCTCGCAAACAATTCATAGCATAGATTTAAGCAAAATTTTAGCACATTAACTACACACTAGATAATAGTGGAGGAGGTAAAAACTACTCTACTCTGCACTGAAAAACAAACAGATTCAAAAAATGCAGAGTTGCTTGTCAAAAACAGATCCTCGGTACTTGTATTTTATGGCATCTCTGGAGAAAGCCAGTTGATTAAAATTCAAATGTCACGGAGCAGATTAATCGATAATATAGGAAGAAACTGCAAGAAATATAAACAGGAAACAAGAGAGAAACAAGTTTCCAAGGACTTAGCAAAGATAATACCTATCAGCATTAAGCCGGAAATCACTTTTGTCTACGGTAGTACCCAAGGCAGAAAATGATCTGCACATGTAAATCAGCTTGTTATTTCTTTTAAGCTATATGCAGTGCTTGCATTCCAATATAAAAAATGAGATTAAGGGCTTTAGGAAGAAACATGCAGACAGTAAGGTTAAGTAGCTGACACAAACTAACGCTATGTGCCTTGTTAAAGATGTAATAAAATTATGAGAATGACTACAGAGAGCTTAGCAGATGATCTCAGAGGTTAATCTGGATGTTCATTATGCTGGTGGTTCCAACCGTGCCTTGGAGCGCCAACAAGCCAGCTAATTGATTCATTGCTAGACAGATAAGGCCTTCACTATACTTGTATCAAAATAAACTTTTGCAAAGTTAGACTGAGTTTTGGTTGTGGTGTATTTCCTTGAAATGATACTACACAGTGGTAATGCTTTATGAGACAGAATATGCTTATCATTTCTAGAGTAGTTTTTAATACATTAGTATGATTTGAGCTTGTTCTTCCAATGATGTGCAAAATGTCACATGACGTCAAAATATAACATCAACTTTTAAGTACAAATTAACATGAAGAAAAACTAAGACTACAGTTATGTAATGTTGTTCAAGCCCGTGCTATGCTCAATGCTCGGTGAGTTCTCAAGGTTTGCTTGGGTAGCTTGCATTGCAACTTGCAGGATGAAGCAAACATCAACTCGTCAATTGCTTAAATATGACACATTAGACCAATATTTGAAACATCATTATGAGCACAACGAGCGTTCAAGTGTCAAAATAGTTTCTCCAGTGTTGTGTGAGTTCAGGCCATGACTTCATTACCTGTCTTACAATCTTTTCTTACTGCAACATATATAATTAAATGAACCAACAACTCTAATTAACCTTTTCAACTGAAATAGTTTGTTCTTTAGAGTAACCCTCTCAAAAAGACGTGATCCAGTGCAAAATGGCAAAACCTAACTACAATTCCCACCAGACCTAGAAAACTAATGAAAGACTATATTAACTACCTTATAAGAACATCAAGCCTATCTTCTGCTTCCAATTTAACAGGATCTGAATCATCAAGCAAAGAAGCTGCATTCTTTACAATCAACTTGAACGTGCAAACCTGCAATCAATAGAATATCAACAATTCATATTATGTATATTTATTACCGCAATTCTACAGAAATAAGCTAACTGCAATTCTCTTCAGAAAACAAATTCTTTTTTAGCTGGATCAGACCTCTACACCACTTCTAGCTTGAAAAGCAACAACAGAGCTCCTCTCCTGCGGTACACAATCCCTTCTTGCTGAGTTCAATAGCCTCTTTATCTCTTCAGATACTCCGTCTACAGCTTCTGATGCTGCCAACAATATTTCATTTATAATCACTGAAACCTCAAGTGTGAGAGTATAAAATTATAACCCTCAACCATCACCAAAACTTTGAAGCTTCGCTGTCGTGGAAGGGAGTCAGTGACCTTTATAAAATGGTATCAAAGCAAGCAGGTCTAAGTTCCACAGGACACAAATTTAAAACGGCATAAAAAAAGATACAGCAAGGTGAGTTTAGAATTCCGCCCTTAAAAAGGGCCCTCAATCTGGGGACAAGTTAGAGTATAAAATATCGAGGTTTATTTGCACTTTAATATCCCAAAGTTTCACCTTTGATTTGACACCCCGATGCCCTAACTTTCTTCCTCACTTTTCCTAAACTCAATACTCAAAAGGCCAAAATATGGCAAGAAAATTGTCACATTCACCTTTGATTCTTGTAAAGAAATTAATGTCAACTTTTTTGCATTTTGGGGCATCAAATTGTCAAAATGGAACTTCAGGGCATAATTGTTAATAACGGGTGAAACTTTGGGATATTATAGTGCAACCAACCCAAATTATAACCCTCAATTCTCATTGTAGCTTCAGGATTAGGGGTGATAAACGAACGAATCGAATCGAATACTAAGATATTCGTATTTGTATTTATTTAAAATTATTGAATTCGAACTTGAACTTGAATATCCATATCTGAAGTTCTTGAATTCAAACTCAAATACTCGGCATTTGATAGATATTTATGAAACTTCATGAATATTTATCAAATGTCAAAGTATATTCATTTTGTTAAAGAATTTAATTTTTAAATAGCATTTAAATTTATAAATGAAAACCATTTCTTTATAGTTATGATGTATACATATTTAATTCGAATATTTCATTACAAAACCGATTTGAGATTCTTCAAGTCTCTCAATATTGGTGAATAGAACTTAAGTAGAAAATATAAGTGGGCTGAAAATATAACATCATATGCATAATAATACAACATATAAGCGATCAAATTTTAAACAAATATTTGATAAGCAAATGAATCGAATATACATCTGGTTAAATTCTATTTGTTAATGAACTCAAATAGATACTATTAGTTTACTGTTAAATGAACTACCGAAATGAATATGACGGAATAGTTTCTCGAACAGTTACCGAACTATTTGTAAGTTATTTGGTTCATTTCCACTCTAATTCAGGAGTTTTGGCGTAGTGAAAGTAAACTTTAACATCAAGAAATCAAAACAATAAACAAATTGAACTTACTCATCAAGAGATACGCGGATCGCAGGCTCCGCTGCGACGCCACGATGGGATCCAACACGTACCTCGCCGCTTTCTTCTTCTGACCCCTCAGCCACTCCTTCGGCCCCGCTGCAACCAAACCGACCAAAATTTGTAAAAATCATCCAAAATCCAAACTAATTTTTGGGATAATTGTGAAAATACGCTTACAAATTCCCAAGGAGATGGCGGTTGAAGGTGGGGGCTGGGCGATGAGAGAGGGGAGAGAGAGGAGTAGGAGAGCAGCTCGACGAGAAGTGAAAGAGAAACTAGGGTTAGGGTTTTGATTTGGTTTTTGGTGACGATGAGAGGGTGAGAGCGTAAATGGGGGGGGCTGGGATAACGCGCGCTACCGCTGCTTCCATATTTTTTTCCGTTTTCCGTCGTTTTTCGTCGATGGATCACTAGAAGGAGAGAGAGAGAAGGAGAAAAGGGTAATTGTATAGTAGTCCCTTAAATCATTCTTAATTGTCTTGGTCCTTCAGAGCTTAGTATTTGCACATTTATCCCTCAAATCTTTGTTTCTATTGCAGTTTTGTCCCTCTGTTAGAATTTTCATTAGTTTCGCTAATTCAAGTTGGATTAACTCTTACTTGTTGGCCTTTTTATTTTGATGATGTTTAACAAACAATTTACTACTAATGTTGTTTGTCTAGTATTTATATTTTTATATTTATTGTAGACAAACAATATGTTAGAGGTTGGATGGAATTGAGCTTCAACGATCATATCTAATGGTATTGATATATATATATATA